AAAAAATGCATAATGACAACAGGATGATTTCAGTGTCACTGAAGTCCAGGCTTTGTCAATCCATCCAATGACTTTAAGGAAAGTGGCGCACCCTCCCGGTGTCACAAGTTTCTCGCTCACTCCAGACTTTCTTTCTGCTGCTCGATTACCATTTTTATCTACATATTTCACTACTTGCAGCAAGACAGAAGCTCTTTGTACAGGAGAGAGGCTGTTAGTGTGAAAATTAGAATATATAAGTTGCACCAGAGTATAAAGTTGCAGGAAACACCCAAACCATGAAAAAAAGTGCGATTTATAATCCGAAAAATATGGTAGTTCATTTTAAAAACAGTAAAAATCAGGTACAGTGCCTTTAAGTATAAGAACATTTGAAAATCCAGGATCAAATGGAGCAAACTACCTCTAAATGATAAACATAACGAATCAGAAACAAGGAGCGGGACCAATAGTAATCTTTAGGTAATTTAGGTTTGATTTTGATGGTGATTCCGTTCAAATATGGTTAAAAAACAATAGCTGCAAGCTTCAAAGTTAAGCTGCTCCTATTGAATACAAATGGGTGGATAAAATGACAAGCATTACACTGTTGGAGTTATATGACCTAATCACCCAATGACATCACAAGGTGCAATGGCACATTTTAACTTTGAAGGTGGTGATTTATGTAGGATTACTAAGTGTGAATGAAACAAAACACATCTCCAGGTTTGTTTTTGAGCAGGAAATCATTTTACAACATGCCGAAAATAAGTTTTAAATGTTTTAAATGTGTTAAAATGTTCTTTTAATTTTAGGGGTCTGCATGATGAGTTTAAAGGTGCTCTGTGTAACTTTTTGATTGAGGGTCCATCACCTGCTTGTTTCTATGACTGGAATGTTCCACAGTGTGACATTAAACAGCTCTATCTTATATTTATTCAATTACAGGTGGTTTTGGGAGCGGGTTGCCTCTCCACAGATCTGACCTGTAACTTGGTCTGGTTTGGTTTCCATCAAGATAGAAAGGTTTAATGCCATACTGTGAAACATTCCAGACAAAGCAATAACATCTCCATGAAAAACATTTGACTGACCCTCCACCAGAAAAGTTACACAATACACCTTTGACACAGTGGAGCACTTCCCGTATTACCACATGACATCACAAGGTGGAACAGAGTGTTTTCTGTTTGAGAGAAGAACCTAAATATGCAGCAAACACAACTCCAGGTACATTTGTGATGAGGAAACATTACAACATAGATCAGAAAATGTACAACATCTTTTTAGCAACAACATATTTGCCTTAACAAAACTTCTTGAAATCCTACTTTTTTTTTGTAATTTATTTTTTTGTTTTGTTTTTATAATTGCGACGATGCAGATGTTTAAGTCTGTGGAGATTTTGTCTTTCTTTGAATTCGATATTTATGAACTAGGTTTGTCGAAAGTATCGAAAAGCTGATCTAGATACTCATTGGAGCGGGTATCGATACTAAAAAAAGTCACATTCACAGGACTGAAATGAACCTTTCCTGAATAGTTTTAGAATGATCTTGAGCTGAATCAGAACAAGTATAAGAGAACATAGACTAGTATAGAAACGGAGCAAAGGATCATGGTCGATGTAGTTCCCTCTGGTACCTGGACCACATGGGAATAGAAAAGAAAGTCCGATGATTTAATGTTGAAAACCACATTCTGTTGTCTAAATAAGGAGTGTTTTAATCATCATATGGTATCAGAATCGGTATTGAGTATCAACAAAGCATCACAAGCAACTCTGGATTCCTCCTGGACGAAAATAGCTCTACTTTTTGTGAAACGTCAACAATGTTATTCATCCTATGTTAAAGGTGCACTGTGTAACTTTTCCGGTGGAGGGTCCGTCAAATGCTTTTCTTTGTGGAGATTTAGAGTTATTGCTTTGTCTAGAATGTTTCACAGTATGGCTTTAAATATTTTTATCGTCATGGAGACCAAACCAGATCAAGTTACACGTCAGAATGCCTGGTTTTTGTTGTTTTTTTAGTCATTTTTGAGCTGTAAAACCACCTGTAATTGAATAAATGTAAATTAGAGCTGGTTAAAGTCATACTCTGGAACATCCTAATGACATATCCATGGAAACAAGAAGGTGACCGACCCCCAACCGATAAGTTACGTAGTGCAATTTCAGTGTATTTTGTTGTTTTACGGATATTAGAATTTTTTGTAAATACTATTTTATTTTTGTTTGCATATATTTTGTTATCTTTTTGGGATTTTGGTGTTTTTCTGTCTTGTTTTTCCAGTATACTTATGTCTTATGTAATATTGTGAAAGTTCAGGCAGCTACAATACACAAACACATAATCTAAATAATGTCCAATTTCCGTTATGTTTGATTTAAAGAGTATACAATTCATCATGGTGTACAGATACAGAATCACAACGAAGCAAGTGAGAACAAAAAGTTGACTTGATACAGTGGGAGTTAAAGGGACAGTCCGGAATTTTGGACATAGGACTTCATTTCCTCGTGAGCAAGAGTGTTGGAGACGTGTGGAGACACTTTTTTAAATATTCCATCCAGGCCTTGTATTTGCAGAGGTCGCTGGTTCTAGGCTAGTGCATGTCAATGGCCATAGTTAGCGTGCCACTAAAAACAGTGTTACCCACTCCACAAAACACCCGAAGCAAAAAAAATTATAACACCAGACTGTCAATGCAAATGTCTGTGTTGATAGAATAATTTTAGAAGTAAAACCAACCTTGCATTTGAAGGATTTATGTCAGAGCAGCAACAGTGAGTTGTACATCTTGATAGAAAGCCTGGCAGCGGCGGACTGATATATGAGAAAATAGTCCCTCAACATGCAACGATTCATGCAATGCAAGGTTAGTTTTATTCTGTCAACACAGACATTTACATCGACAGTCTGGTGTAATATGGATTTACTTCGGGTCTTTTGTGGAGTGGATTTTTAACTGCAGGCTAACTATGGCCATTGACATGCACTAGCCTAGCACCAGCGACCTCTGCAAATACAAGGACTAGATGGAATATTTCAAAAAGTGTCTCCACACGTCTTTGACACTCTGGCTCACTAGGAAATGAGGCCCTATGTCCAAAATTCAGAACCGTCCTTTAAGTGTGGGATCTTAAGAGTCAAAGGGAGCTGTGTAAAATAATATAATACTGTATAATGTTCACGTGTTCGGGTTAGGGTCACATTTCGTTATTCCATATTTTTGTTTTTGTAAATATGTGGTACAATAAAGACTTCTTATTTTACAAACAAAAAGTGGCCTCGTTTGTTATTGTAACTTAGTATTTATAATAAAGGTGCAGTGTGTAACTGTCTGGTAGAAGGTCTGCCACGTGCTTGTCTCCATGGAGATGCTAGTGTTTGGTCTGGAATGTCCCAGTATGGCATTAAACATATCCATCATGCATTTACTCAGTATTATGGGTTTGTATTTGACTAAAAACTTTCATTCTTGCTGTTTCCGCACATCTGACATGTAACCCGGCCCTGTGGTGTCAACTGCGAGAGATAATTAAGTCTAATGCCATACTGTGGAACATTCCAGGCAATGTCTCCATGGAGAGAAGCAGGTGACGGACCCTCCACCAGAAAAGTTACACAGTGCGCTTTTAAAGGCACAGTATGTAACTTTCTGGAGGTGGCACATCACTGATATGATTCCATGGAAACGGAGAGTTAAAACCATACTTCGGAACATTCTCCATGTTACTTGTGAAGGAACAAAAGTAGACTGAAGTGTTTAAGCCAGAGGTGGGATCAAGTCGTCGTTTTGCCGGTCTCGAGTAAGTCTCAAGTCTTTGACCTCAAGTCCGTGTCAAGTCAAATACAGACAAGTCCAAATCAAGTCTGAAGTCACTAGCCCATAAGTCCATAAGTCCATGACAAGTCCGAGTCAAGTCCAAATCAATCTCGAGTCACTAGTCCATAAGTCCATGTCAAGTCCAAATCAACCTCGAGTCACTAGTCCATAAGTCCATGTCAAGTCCAAATCAACCTCGAGTCACTAGTCCATAAGTCCATAAGTCCATTTCAAGTCCAAATCAATCTCGAGCCACTAGTCCATAAGTCCATAAGTCCATGACAAGTCCGAGTCAAGTCCAAATCAATCTCGAGTCACTAGTCCATAAGTCCATAAGTCCATGTCAAGTGCAAGTCAAGTCCAAGTCGTCTGCTTTGAGCTTTAAGTCATTTCAAGTCTTTAGATTTTTGCCATTTACATGACTTTTAAAATGAATTGTAATTTAAAAAGTCATGGCATATTTATATATGTGTATTTATATACTCATTTATATAAACATATACTTGACAAGATCTTAGTGTGAATCATTACGGTCAGAACAGAAAAAGTTCATATTCAGGTATAGTACTGTAGTAAATGGTCACATTTTTCTATAGCGCTTTTCCACCTTCAAGGAACCACTCACCCTTTCACACACCAGTGTACGCAGACACTGTGGGCAAGGTGGGTTAAGTGTCTTGCCCAAAAACACAACAACGGCACTCATCTGTGGGAGCTGGAATCACACCAGCCAACCTGTGGGTCAGCGGATCTGACGCTCAACCTGTAATGTTTATGTTGAGAGCTGGAATTGAACCGCCAACCTTCAGATCAGTGGGCAAATGCTCTACCAACTGAGCTACTGCCGCCCATAGTGCAGTCTTCTACATCATTCTAGATTTGTAAATACCTAAGTCTTTACTGATATAATATATATACCATCCAGACACAGGGAGAAACATGCAATATCCACACAGAAAGGCCCAGTAAACCCAGGTATCGAACCCAGAACCTTCTTACTGTCAGGCATGAGTGCTAGTCTCTCAGCCACTGTGCCACCACTGTCTGCAGTGAGTCTTGTTTGTTTCTCATAAAATTCACCAGGAGCAACGGGAGACAAACAGGAGTTCTACTTGAGACACTGGAGAGAAAAACATAAACTCATAAATGTAAAAATGTTAACTATACATACAGCTTTGGCTAATAATCATAACTCCAACTAAAACCTTTCACATGTTCCAAATGCAGTCATTAATGAGTCTCAGTTTCACATATTGTTGTACTTGGAATGTTCAAAGTTTCAAAAGTCGGGTTGCTGAGATAAAGAGTCTACTTGGGTCTTTTCAGAAATTTCTCAGAATAACTTCAAGAGACAGTGTGTCCATGGAAGATGGTGTCTGGTTTATCACTTGTTTTGTTGTCATCACATTGGTTCAGGGAAAGATGCTCTCACTGCCTCCAGTCGACTTCTACCTGCAACACAGAGGGGAAATTTTTTTTTAACTTATACACCGTATTTTCTGGACTATAAGTGGCTCTGGACTATAAGTCGCACCAGCCACAAAATGCTCAATGAAGAAGAAAATATATATATATAAGTCGCACTTTTTGGAGAAATGTATTTTATAAAATCAGAGACCAGGAACCGACATTTTATCTTGAAAATCAAGTTCTAGTAATAACAATAGAACAGAGAACAACAGACTGAACAGGCGTTAATATGTTAATGTAACATATGAACATTTATTCAGATAATTATAGCATAAACAACATAACATATGTTTACCAAACTCACGATCTCACTCCAAGTCACTAAATCCACTGAATTCTTCATCCTCGGTGTCACTTCTGTGTGACCTTCGGAGATAAACCATAGATCCATGAGGTAAACAGAGCACCGCTTCCTCTTCTGTGTAGCTGTTGTCAGACTCAGCATCAGTTCCAGTTAGAATTATTCCAGCCTTTTTGAATCCCGACAGGATGGTTTTGGTGTCACTGAAGTTCAGGCTTTGCTGATTCATCCGGTGACTTCCAGGAAAGTTACATGGCGCACCCGCCCAGGTTCCCTTGAAGCTGTGTTTTCCATCCCCATTTTTCGTCAGTCCCTCACAAGTTTCTTGCTCACTTCAAACTTTCTTTCTGCTGCTCGATTACAGTTTTGGGATGAATATTTCACTATTAGTGGCAAGACAGCAGATTTTTCTATAGTAGGCATACACAATAGAGTGCGAAGTGACAGTGCTACAGTGCTACAAAAAGATCCTGACACACAAGCCTAGAGCGCCCTCTCATGGCTGTCAGTCTGAAAATTTGAATATAAATGGTCTCATTTTTCTATAGCGCTTTATCACCTTCAAGGCACTGAAAGCACTTTACAACAAGGAACCACTCACCCACCCACCAGTGTACGCAGACACTGTGGGTTAAGTGTCTTGCCCAAGGACACAACAACAGCATTCATCCATGGGAGCTGGAATCAAACCAGCCAACCTGTGGGTCAGTGGATTCTGACCACTCAACCTGTGATGTTTATGTCAAGAGCTGGAATTGAACCACCAACCTTCAGTTCAGTGGGCAAATGCTCTACCAACTGAGCTACTGCTGCCCTGTAATTACATCACACTGGAGTATAAGTCACAGGAAACAGCCAAACCATGAAAAAAGTGCAACTTATAGTCTGAAAAATACGGTACATGAGGGAAATGACTTCAATTTAATAAAGCTAAAATCATTATGATCATAATTATTTAATATTTAATAATATACTTTCAATTTCCTATTAAAAATAAATACATTATTTAACTACTACTAAACTATATTAATTAACAATATATATAAATATCAATTATGACTTATTGTGAATACACTAACAATTTAGCATCTCAGACAGTATTTTTTTTTACGTGTTACAATTGAGCAAAGTTGAGAGTTAGTGTGAACGCGTTAAATAAAGTTTGACTGTTGTGTTTCGTTTAATGTGCCTTATAGTCCGGTGTGGTTTATATGTGAAAAAAAGTTAGACAATAGACCATTCAATGACAGTGCACCTTATAATCCAGAGTGCAGAAAATACGGTACAGATACAGTGTTGCTTTTAAGTAGTGCAGCCACACAAGTCATTTTTTACAAATGTATTACAACAAATATACAATAAAAATCACATCAAAATATGACCTCATTCAAACATAATGAAATAAAAGTACCACTTGGCCCATGTCTTCGGTACAGTCCTCTCCTAATTCTTTGAGGTTAGGTTACAAATATTTAAATTTGTATTTTTATGTATAAAATTCTTTACAATTCAAACGATCCCTGAACATTTCACATTTTATTTTAAAACCAACACACAGATTCATAGATACAAAACTCATCAAATTCATAATTTTCATGTTCCAAAATGTGTCACATCAAGAGCTCAGTTTTGCCTTCGATACAGAGGCTGTAAATTCCAGTTTTCACATCTGGTTAGTGACGCCAGATCAGAGGTGATGTTAAAAAAGAATTTGAGGAAATGTTTGATATTTCAGGCTAATGTTTGATCACCTTTCAATTGTGGATGTTTCATTGCGTTTGAATCAAAAGAATTGAATCCATGGTGTTTAAATGTTATTTTTCTCTATATATACATTTTTATGCACAATGATAATGTAAAATGGTGGAGGTGGAGGCTTTAATATTACGCCCTATTGGGTTTTTTACCTCTTCCGG